TTAGGGCAGTTGCTACATCGAAAGCTTACGCTGCAGCCCTGCCCATTGAGGAGATCTGCTCCGCGGCTATTTGGAGCCGTCCGAGTACGTTCATCCGTCATTATCAACTTGACAGACTCTCCAGTGAGCGTGCTCGGTTCGGTCAGTCAGTTCTCTCCAGTGGGCATGGTTCCACCTCTCTAGCTGATTGAGCTTTCGAGGATGTATTGTGTGAACCATTCTCTGCCAATATTTTAACACTGGTGTTGGGTTTTTAAAAATCTTGTGACATTTTCCCTTGGTGATGGGTTTTATGTGGTGATGGTTTTTACTCCCATGTCTTTTGCATTCTGCTCTAGACTTAACTGGCCTTGGAAACTTTGTTGTTCATATTCCGGCATTTCGTTTCTGGGTTATTGCGGGACCCTTATCTTCGCTTCCGAGTAGATTACGGGAGGGAGGGAGGGTGTGTCTCGTTAGTTGCATTAGCGAGGTTTCGCTGGGCAATTTGCATATGTTTGACCCTGACCCTGGCTCATGCCCCCGCCTGATTGGCTATGGTGGACACGTGACCGGGTAAGTGTGCCTTTTCTGCTATAATTAGCTTGGGAAATTCCACTTCTTGTCGGGGGTGTTTATGCAGACAGAATGCCGCTCCTTGGCTCCGTCTTTAGGAGTCTGTCTTATGCTTATAAGTACCCCAAGGAGGAATATATAAAAAAGAATCGAACTAACCTGTAGAGGTTTCAGATTCTTTGAATATATTCCTCCTTGGTAGTCCTCACCTCCCCCCACATTCTGTCTGGCGTGGTTCAGCATGGAAAGTGAGGTCACGAGGTTACGGTCTAGAGTTACCTGCTCTTGGCTGTAGGGGGCCGGAGGGCCCTGTAAGGGTGGTCTCACAAGACAAAAACGTAGTTTTTTGTTTTGTAAATATTTTTATTCAAATATTGTTACAACTGTCGTAGGGAATTTAAATGGACATTTAAATGCTTATAAGTACCCCAAGGAGGAATATATTCAAAGAATCTGAAACCTCTACAGGTTAGTTCGAATTTTGCAAATAGCCGGCAAATGACATCTCTGATGACCCTGATGTAAAAAGAATCTAACTTTGGATGCCTACCTTTTTGTACAAGGTTTTGTTTATTGGTTGTTGGTTTATTTGTCACAATTTTTAGCACGATGTTCTTTTTCATGCCAAGAGCAAAAGTTGTACGTTTCATGTAATGCGACACCTTATAAATCGGTTTGCTACGTCTGCTCTCTTTTTTACAAAAATTCAACAAATTTCTAATTAAACGTTTAGCATCATCTGAATAAGCTTTCATAATGACAGCTAGAAGTAGTCAATGTGAATGAACCAAACGGTCTATCACTGTGCAGTGCACAGGTAACTATCATGAACTGCACGTGCATTGACCTTTATGACCCAACACTGCCGCTGTTACAGGTCATTTGCTCCCTCCCTCTGCAAGCATTCTGCGTTCTGCTGTTTATTTTGTTGACAGTTACATAGACAGATTCTTTAATACAAATGCATAAAATCGGTGATTTACAATGTGATTAGGTTGTCTGACAAAACATCCACTTGCACAGTTTGAGATCGATTGGGTCATTGGATGAAGAGATATTTACAAAAAAAACGGGTCCACATGCATTTCATGCCAAACTATAGCTGGATTATCAGTGTGTATCAGCTTGCTGACTTGGTTGAAGGTTTGTATCAACCATTTGGGTAATACCAGTGGTGCAGTAGGTCAGTGGTATATGTGTCAGGTTGCCATGGTGATGGTCCAGTTTTGACTAATCGATTCTGCCTCTGTGTTATATTTTGTGCAGTCTCACTGTATGCCACATGCATTAAGATTTTATGGAAACAATTAATCCATTGATATCTTTACCTACATTTGATATCATTTCAGTCTGTGCCACTATTGCAGGCCAAGACCAATATTTAAACTTATCGTATCTCACGACTTGCACCTCTCTCTCTCTCGCTTCGACTTTTAGTGGAACGACTGTAAACTTTTTTCCATAGGCCTCCTTGTCCATTCGCCTGTGCACTCCATGCTGCTCTCCTTAATTAGCTTCCTAGTTCCTAATAAAGCTTGCAGCATGCTCCACTAATTGCCCACATGACTACCTTGTATGATCATTCTCTGTACCTGGAATTCAAAGCAGTAATTCAAGCCATCTCACATTGGGCAACAGAGCTTCAATCAACCAGTCTGTTGATCCAATCAGACAATTCGACAGTGGTTTGGTATATAAATCATCTAGGCTTGACAGGCTTGGCGAATCTGCTACAATGGGCGATCAGGTTCTTCCATCTTATTGACTCACTCAACATCGTAGCCAGAGCCAGACACATTCCCAGGTAAAAAATGTGATCGCCGATGCCTTGTCCTGATCCATCCGACCGTCCCCGACAGAGCGGAAGCTACTGCCCCAGATCTTCCAGTCGATGATCTACCTATTATCATGACCTCAAATAGATCTCTTCGCCACAAGATCCAACAACCAACTTCCGAAGTTCGTATCGCCAATCCCAGACCCCTTGGCGTGGGACCTCGACGTGTTGGCAATATCATGGGAGCTCTGCTACCAAAAGTAATACAGAAAGTATTAGCCCCCAGCAACATACTACTGCTTTGGGTCGCACCCTTCTGGCCAGCGCGAAGTTGGTTCGTCAGCTTAAGAAGACTTGCAGAGCCAAACCCAGTACCGCTTCCCAACCGGGACGACTTACTTCATCACCCTCACTTGGAACTGCTCCACAGGTCACCTCAAACCCTCAACCTACACATTTGGCACATCTCCAGAGATCTCTCATAGCTTAGGGCTTCTCTTGCCGAGTGGCCACAGCTATCACTTCCGCGTATCGTACTTCGACCCGTTCCTTGTACGACAACAAGTGGAAGAAGTTTGAAGACTATTGCAATGTTAGGGGAATTACATCTCCCACTTCCACCTCTGCTCAGGTCGTTGCTGAGTTTCTCCAGCATCTCCGCACTACTAAGAAACTCAAGGGTACTATGTTAGCTACCTACTTAGCTGCCTACTTAGCTGCAATCAACTCTGTTTTGGCTACTACTACGGGCACGAAGATTTCCACTGTTTCCGAGTTGCAGAGTCTACTACGCTCCTATAGACTCTATGACCAGTCCAGGAAGTTCAGACCACCGGCCTGGGATCTGTCTGTCTGTCCTTCGTCAAATGATTTCTGCAGACTGTGAACCTTTAGAAGACAAGGACTTCGAACAAGTGACATTCAAGACATTCTTCCTGGTAGCTTTGGCTACCGCTGCTCGTATATCTGAACTGCATGGGCTTGATGTCAGTTGGGTGCAGTTCTAGCGGAAGAAGCATGGCCAGGCATTCCTGGGTCTCCGCTGGGACTTCATTGCGAAAAACCAACTGCCAGGGCAACCGGACCTGATGTTTACCATTCCCCCGTTGTCCACCATTCTTTGACCTGATGATAATGAAGATTTGACATTCTGCCCTGATAGGGCTCTACACATTTACCTTGCTGCCTCCAAGGATCGTCGATGGCTACGAAAGCACCTCTTCATACCATTGTCGACCGCTTTAAGAACTGAGGCTTCCCAGACCCCATTGGCCTTCTGGGTGCGTGCCACGATCCTGCGAGCCTACACCTTTGCAGGGTTGCCTCCTCCAGCCGCTTCCAATCCTCATGAGACTTGTGCACTAGCCTCGTCAATGGCCCTCCATAGGAACTGCTCCTTGACCGCTATCATGGAAGGTTGCTTCTGGCGTTCTGATACAGTTTTCTCTTCACATTAACTGCGAGACCTGTCTGTCACAGATGTCCAGGGACTACACCAGTTCGGACCTCTTGTACTGGCTCAGCAGCTTACATCGGCCCAACAACGCAGATGAGGGACGGTTCCGCTCTCGCTCTTCCGTTCTCATTATATATGTTGAAGAACTACTTCACTTGGCCTCCATACCAATACGGCCGCCAAACGTGGCCTTACGGACCTCTAGCATAACCAGTATGACGATGCAGATGTGTTCAACATTCACACTTACTGACATCTACTCCACAGAGCAATTACGTCAGTGAAGTGTGACACTCCCGAATTACAGTGGATTTCGTTGCGTTCTGCCTCTGAAGTTGCCAGTCACATCCTTTGACAATTTGATGCTGCCCGGAACTGAACGTTAAAACTTGGAGATGCCAAGTTGTGCTTCTCTTTAACCCGCCTCAGTTGGTGTCTGGGGGGACTTCTCGAAGCAGGGGGTGGCCCGATTCTAGTCGCAAGACTGCATTTAACGGGGGTACCTTGTAAAACTTGCGAGGCGAGGCTTACTTACCGAGTTGCGTCCCTTGTCTTGTACAAGGTTGCGGCCGAACACCACATCGCTCGGGAGCACCCATCTCCCTGGGAGTCGTTGTGCTTAGTAAGCCAAGGGGTTCCCGGAGGACCCACTACAAGCATAGGAGTTGCATGCATGCATAACAGGCCTCCCTTGTACATCGCTATCTACAGTTGTCATCAGTCCACACAGCTCCAAGACCAGCTGTTCGCACTGTCCAGACAGAAGGGTAATCTGTGGCCCGCCGTCCAACCGTGGGATAACTGCAAGTCATGAGATAGGATAAGTTTAAAAATTTGAAAATTTTAATATAAATTGTATATTTATATACTTATCCTATCTCTCGCTATGGATACCCGCCCTGCCTCCCCACTACTCCGATTACAATGTTGGCTCCAAAATGAGAATGATCATTCAAGGTAGTCACGTGGGCAATCAGTGGAGCATGCTGCAAGCTTCAGTAGGAACTAGGAAGCTAATTAAGGAGAGCAGCATGGAGTGCACGGGTGAATGGACAAGGAGGCCCATGGAAAAAAGTTTACAGTCGTTCCACTAAAAGTCAAAGCGAGAGAGGGTCAAGTCGTGAGATAGGATAAGTATATAAATATACAATTTATATTAAAATTTTCAATTTCACTTTCGTTATTCCTTCATGATTTCATTATTTCTGACAGGATGTGTATGAAACATTTAACGTGATGATGAGACGTAAACCAAAGGAGAACAACTTCAAGGCTGTGTTGGAGACGATCCGGGACCTAATGAACACTGACTGTGTGGTGCCAGACTGGCTGCACGACCTCATCCTGGGATACGGGGAGCCGGATGCAGCTCATTATGATAAGTACGTCTCACATGCTTGAAGTAATAATAACGATGGTGGTAGGGTAGCCTAGTGGTTAAAGCTTTGGCTCGTCACGCCAAGGACCTGGGTTCGATTCCCCACATGGGTACAATGAGTGAAGCCCATTTCTGGTGTCCCCAGCCGTGATATTGCTGGAATATTGCTAAAAGCGGCGTAAAACCAAACTCAGTCAGTCAGTCGTCACGCCGAGGACCCAGGTTCGATTCCCCACATGGGTACAGTGTGTGAAGCCCATATCTGGTGTCCCTGGCCGTGATATTGCTGGAATATTGCCAAAAGCAGCGTAAAACTCACTCACTCACACAACGATGACTGATTCCATGGTGAAACATGGTACTTGTTGTTACCCTGCATGGCTCTTAATGAGATTAAAATGGGTCTTCACTTGATCTGTATGTTTCCAGAATGCCAAACAAGATCCCCAGTCTGGACTGGAATGACACATTCCTTCACCTTGACCATCTCAAGGCCAGTTTCCTAGACCACCAGATCACCGTGGCAACAGATGACAAGGAGAAACAAGTTCCACCTTTCAGGTACTAAAAGTGATTCATGTTTTCATTGGCATGTGATTCCAATACCAGTGGGAATGTAAGAACAACCACAGGCATGGCTATTTGTTAGCTGGAATGGCTTGTTAGTGCCAATCTTATCTAAATAACCAACCATCTATCTACAGTAGACACTTCGTTTCTTTATTCTTCTTTAGCTTTTAAATGAAATCACACTTACAAGAGTCAACCTGTGGGTTAAGCATTCAACAGTCATGCTGAAGACCCAGGTTAAAATACCCACATGGTTACAATGTGTGAAGCCCATTTCTGGTGTTTCCCTCTGTGATATTGATGGAATATTGCTAAAAGCAGCATAAAACCTGACTCACTCACTCTACAAGTCAACTTTTCATACCGACTGTTCACTCGTCTTCACAACACGGATGTACATGGTAGCCCCACTTCCCACATGCAGTGGTATTAGACCAGAAGAATATATAATGTCCAGGGCCGTATCAAGCTGCAGGCTTCTATAGATAGTTGTTTTTTTTAATCAGTTATGTGTGACCACATTCTCTTCCCACAGAGGTTACTCCTGTCATATCTTCCCAGGTAACCTCTGTTCTAATACGGCCCTTTCATGGTGTGAAGCGTTCAAGACTCGTGATTGGAGGCAATCAGATTTAGTTGTTCAATCAGCGACGTTGTTTCAAAAGTGATCATTCGCAAGGCCTCGGTATTCTTCTTCATAGAGATCGTCCTTGGGGTACATATTATGCATTTTCCGAGCTGAAAATGTCCTGTGACAGTTGTATCAATGTTTTTGAATAAAAATATGGTACAATAAATAAACTTTTTTACCTCCCGTTGCGCATGCGCACCAACTGGGTAAGCACCTAGGCCCGTATCATCATTCCTTCTGCTGTCACTGACTAAACAAGTCGCATCTGTCGAGCAAAGCTGACCTCTTGTGAGATAAAGAGAAAGATAATGTCTGAGACGCCACCTGTATGTATGGTCTTTATTTTGTCCTTTAACGGAACAGTAAAGCTTTGCGGTCGGTTGTTTCATAATTGTGACTTTGTATTAATTATTTACGCTAGCACTTTCCCGTGGTTTACGCACGTGTTGCTATTCGATGGCGGGAAGTTTAGCGTGCCACGTGGTTGTAATATTGCGTATTGAACCAACTATTTCTTCCCGTGGTCACATTCACATATTTTTCAATGTTTTCTACATGTATATTAGACTGCTGGTCCGCTGTTAGCTACATGCTTGCGTGTTTGCTTTCAGGCGTTTTCTTCATGTTCGGTCTGCGGGCAAAGTATCCCCAGGGCCGACCGCCTTGATAAGTGTATCGTGTGCCTTGAGAAAACCGACCATATCTCGGAAACTTGTGAGATTTGTATGGGTTTCTCCCCCCGAGCCCAGAAGAGACGGGCGGCAGACTTCCTATTCTATAGGGAGATGCGTGAGGCGGGAGGGGAATTGACCCAGGTCCCCCCGTCTAAAGCGAAAAAGCCTAGAAGTAAAGGCAGAAAGTCGCGCAGTCAGCCGCCTTCCCCTGCTCCTAGTAGCGGATTTGATATGTCTCTCATTACTCAGTTATTCCAGCAGCACATGGACTCCGTGAAGTCCCTTGTTCACGGGTCGGTTGGAGGTATCCGTCAGGAATTCCTCGCCCACCTGGAGCAGGGGGCTGAGAGTCTGGGGGTGGGATCGCCGAGCCCGGCTCGAACCTCGGCCTGGAGGCGTCTGTCGATCCGTTGCCTCTGGCTTCGGGTCCTGACGCCTCGGACGCCTCGGCTGCCCCGGAGGGGGAGGCTTCGCTCCCAGTCCCCCTCTCGGAGTTGGCGCAGGGTCCGTTGATGATTCCTGGGGTTCCGGTCCCTGCGGCATCCCGCCCCATGAGAGCGGAGGCACCAGTTCTGCCTGGTCTGCCTCCAGTGTCTCGGGACCGGGGTTCGTGCATGATGGCAGGTGCTGACGCGGGGCGCTCTGTCTGTTCTTCCCTCTCCTCTGTGCCTAGTGCTAGGCCGCCCACCGGGTCGGGGTTCGGGTCCTCTTCGCGAGGAGACCCAGCCTCGGACTCGGGCTTGGGCGCCGAGTCCATGGACACTGGGGAGGTTGAGGAGCAGGAGGGTGCCTTCCGTTTTTTGTCGGCTTTACGGGAGGTCCGGCAACGCATTGCCGAGTTCCTTCCCCAGGCCGCGGTGCCTGCCAGCCGCTAGGACTCGACTGAGTTCCGCCTGCCAGGTGAGGCGTTTGCCCCTCGGCAGCCTGCGCAGACGCTGCTCCGCATTCTGCCGTCCTTGGTGCAGGACGTGGTCAATCCCCTCCTGTCTGGGTCTCGCCTCCGTTTCGACTTGCCTGAGCTTGTCCGGAGGTACCAGCTGGGGGAAGATTCCCTGTTCGCTGTACCAATGGTCGACGAATGTGTTTTCACTTCGGTCGCCCTGGGGGGAGGCTCGGCTTCCTCCGGCACAGCTCCGGCTGCCAAGCAAGGGCGTTTGACACCACCTTTTGCCCTCGCGGGCGCCCCCCTGCGGCATGCGTACCGGACCTTCGAGGAGGTCTACCGGAACGCTATGCAGCAGGTGCGGGTAGTGGTCCATGAGGCCTACCTCTCCTCGATACAGAGGTCGGCCCTGGAGGCGGAGGGGCACGCTGGAGACGTTTCTCCGCATGTCATTCTGCTCCGTCAACTATCCGAAGTCCAGGCACACCTCGCGCGCGACTCTTTGCGGTCGGCTGCGTCGACGGTGATGTGCGCAGTCATGGGGATGCGCAAGCTGTGGCTGTCGACGTCTCGGTACTCGGCAGCTACACAGCAGACCTTGCTGGCCCTCCCCTTCCGTCCGGGAGCGACGCTGTTTCCTGGGGCACAGCAGGTCATCCGGGAGGCTGCCGCTGCAGCTACCTCCTTCAAGGACTCTAAGGCCTTGTTGGAGCACCCGCGGGCTTCTCGCCCCCGCGCTCCCGTTCCGACTTTTCTCCGCCAGGGTGCAGCCTACACCCGAGTCTGCTGGCTGACTTCGGCCGCTAGGCAGGGGTAGGCGGAGGAACCGTCCCGCCAAGGGTAAGGGCAAGGAGCAGTCCTCTTCGACTGGCTCCCAGCCTTTTCGCGGGCGCGGGAGGTCTGCCCCGACCTCCCATTAACCCATCAGGCTGTAGACCAAGCCGTGTGTCACTCCCAGTCAGCTCCTCTATTCGGGACCACTCACGCGCTCTTACCCAACGTCCCAGTGGGAGGCCGCCTCTCTCTATTCCTGCCGGAGTGGGAGAAGGCTACAAACAACACTTGGGTGCTGTCCACCGTCAGTGTCGGCGATTTACCACTGTGGAAGCGAGGTCCGCCCGACTTCACCGGCATACGCCGCACTCCGGTGCCGTCATGTCAGGCAAGGGCGGACATATTGCGCGACGAAGTCCAGGCTTTGCTGGACAAGTCCGCTATCGAGCGCATACCACCGGGCGAGGAACAGGCGGGATTTTACTCCACGTACTTCCTCGTTCCGAAGAAAGACGGCGGGTTCCGTCCCATTCTCCACCTCAAGGGGTTGAATCGCATGCTCGAAGTACCATCCTTCAAGATGGAGACACTGCGCTCGGTGATCTCCTCTGTTCAGCCCGGCGATTGGCTCCGTCAATCGACCTCAAGGATGCGTATCTGCATGTGCCCATACATCCATCGTTCAAGCAGTACCTTCGGTTCTCTTACGACGGGATGTGTTACCAATTCAGGGTGCTCCCCTTCGGCATATCTACTGCCCCCAGGGTGTTCACCAAGCTCATGTTAGTCCCGGCTACCCTCGCTCGCTCGCAAGGAAGGCGTTGTTACCCTTACCTCGACGACTGGTTGCTCGGTGCACTGACACAGCCAGCGAGCCTAGATTCTACTCACAAGGTGATAGACATTCTAGTTCGACTGGGGTGGATCATCAACCTCAAGAAATCCGACCTGGTACCCACCCAGGACTTGGTTTTTCTCGAGGCGAGTTTCCAAACACACAAGGATCTCGTTTCCTTGTCGCCCAATCGGGTCACCAGAGTTCGGGAGATGGTGTCTTTGTTCCTCTCCCAGCCCCAGGCACCAGCACGGACTTGGCTCCGTCTACTGGGCCATATGGCGGCGACGATCTCTGTAGTGTGGCGGGCGCGGTTGAAGATGCACCCTATACAGCAAGCTTTGGCGAGTCTGTGGGCTCACTCGGAGGACCTGGAGCGGAGTCTCACAGTCCCCGGGTGGTTGTCTCCTCACCTTCAGTGGTGGACCAATGTTGGGAATCTCACCAGGGGGGTCCCCTTGGAACTCCCGACGCCAGCTCTTACAGTTCAGACCGATGCGTCCCTCACGGGCTGGGGGGGTGTTCTGGGCAGTCTGTCGGTGTCCGGACTCTGGTCCGAAGCCGAAGCCCACCTTCACATCAACGTGTTGGAACTGAGAGCTGTCGCGGTTGGTTTTCGAAGCGCTTCGAGAGCATGTCCAGGGCCAGGTGGTTCGTCTTCAGTTGGACAACCAGACGGCCATGTCGTACATCCTGAAGCAAGGCGGCACGGTGTCCCGAACGCTCCTCCGGGAGACATGGGACTTTCTCCTCTGGTGAGACCAGTGCGATTGTCAGGTACTCCCTGTTTATCTCCTGGGGCTGGAGAACGTGCGAGCAGACGCTCTCTCTCGCCGGATCCTGGCCCCGCACGAGTGGATGCTCGACCGGCAGATATTCGGAGTTATCTCCCAGTTGTACGGGTCGTTCCAGGTGGATCTGTTTGCGGGACGAACCAGATACCCGTGTTCTGCTCTCGAATACCGGACCCGAGGGCGTTGGCTGCCGACGCCTTCCTGCTGGATTGGACGGGCAAAGTGCTCTGGGCATTCCCGCCGTTACCACTTATTCCCCGTGTCCTTTCACAGCTGTCCACCCAGCCAGCTCGGCTGCTTGTGCTACTGGCACCGCTTTGGCCGTCACAGTACTTTCCGGTAATTCTCAGGTTTCTGGCTCAGCCTCCTGTTCTATTACCTTTACGACCGGACATTCTCACTCAGAACGGAGCACCCCACCCCAATCCAAGGATTCAGTGGGTGGCTTGGCCTCTGTCAGGTCTAGCCTTGAAGCACGCGGAATTCCTGCAGCAGTTGCAGACACAATTCTGGCTTCGAGGCGGGATTCGACAAACGTTCAGTATTAGGATAGGTGGTCCCGCTATGCGTGCTGGTGTTCAGATAGGGGGATTGCAGATCCCTTTTCTGCGGATTTAGTCCGAGTATTGGAGTTTTTGCAAGCTCGTTTGGAAGAAGGCCTGGCGGCTTCGACCATTCGTGGCTACTCCGCCGCTATTTCCACTTTTCACACCCCTGTCGATGGTGCTCTTCTGGGGCAGCACCATCTCGTACAGCGCTTTTTAGCTGGCGCGGATCGGGTTCGACCTGCTCGATTGGCTGTCCGGTCCCACTTTCTCACACCTATCGGCTATTTCCACTCAGTTGTTAACTTGGAAGGCTGTTTTTCTGGTGGCGGTAACATCTGGGTGTAGGGTCGGCGATTTACACGCTATGTCGTCCGACCCGGCGCTGACTGTGTTTCACACTGATCGTGTCAGTATTTGCCTCCCGGATACTTACCGCCCGAAGGTCGATCACGCTTTCCATGTGACAGCTCCTATCGAACTTCCCACTCTTACCCAGCCTTCCACATCGGGGACCTCTGCAACGAGCACTCACCCGTTGGATGTCCGTAAGACACTCAAGGTCTATATCAAACGAACACAGGGAATCCGTACAGGTACCCAGCTGTTCTGTTGTTACGGTGGCGGGAAGGCTGGTGTGCCGGCGAGACAAGCAGACTTTGTCTCTGCTGGCTAGTTTCGTATTTGTGCTGCGTTATCAGGCTAAGGGCAAGCCTCCCCTGAGGGTTGAAGGCTCACTTTCGGTCAGGGCAGTAGCCGCATCAAAAGCTTTTGCATCGGCACTCCCCATTGAAGAGATCTGCTCTGCCGCTGTTTGGAGCCGACTGCCTAGCACGTTTATTCGGCATTATCAGCTCGATACACATTCCCGTAATCGCGGCGAGCTTTGGCGTTCTGTTCTCTCCAGTGAACAGTGTCCTGCCACCCTGACCGAGTGAGTCTTGGTTCATTGTTTTTGTTGGCGCTGCTGTTCAATACTGTGTTGTATTGACATATCCGCTGCTGGGCCCTTAACCTCATTTCGATCCTCTACGGAGTATAAAGGTCAGTAGTGAGCGTTTTTTACATTCCCCCCCGGTGCTCTCTAATCGACACAAGGTGGGTGGGGCTTTGTTTACATTTAAGCACCATGTGCGAATTCTTATCTTGACCTGTGAGGTCGCTTCTTTGAGTGCAATTCCTCCCTGTCAGTTCCCCTCCCATAATGCCTCTCGCGGAAGCACAACCTGGGACATGTGACAGGTGAGTGATTATGGCGTCTGTTACATTATTCAATTAACGATAGCTATTTGTGTGTGCTTGGACAGAATTCCCTCCTCCCTGGCCTCCGGTCTTTGGGAGTCTGTGTTTATGCATAATATGTACCCCAAGGACGATCTCTATGAAGAAGAATTAACCAAACCTGAAGAGGTTTTCAATTCTTCGAAGAGAGTAGATCCTTGGGGTAGGGCCTCCGCCTCCCGCAATTCTGTTCACTGATTTATTCAGCAGAAGGAATGATGATACGGGCCTAGGTGCTTACCCAGTTGGTGCGCATGCGCAACGGGAGGTAACTCCACGAGGTGGGGGCCGTATAATAAATAAAAAAGTTTATTTATTGTACAATATTTTTATTCAAAAACATTGATACAACTGTCACAGGACATTTTCAGCTCGGAAAATGCATAATATGTACCCCAAGGACGACTCTCTTCGAAGAATTTAAAACCTCTTCAGGTTTGGTTAAATTTCCGTATACTTCGAGAAAACTAAACCTCTTCTCCTGCGCGATGCGCAAACGTTTCTTCTAGACAGAACTCAGTCATGTTATGATCAGTGGCGTCTCCATCGCCCTCGTTGACAACGGACAAGCTAGCCATTAAACGTCTTGTGTGTAACATCAACACAAGTCCCCGGCAGATGGGGGATATTTGTGGCCTCACATTTGCTTGTGTTAGTGAAGTTGAATCTAAGTCGATGTAACACGTGTTCTGATTGGATAGAAAGAAGGGAGATAATTTGTGTTGCGATCTTTTGCCGCTAGGGGATTTTACGAGAACTGGGAAATATGGCCGTATTAGAACAGAGGTTACGTAGGAAGATATGACAGGAGTAACCTCTGTGGGAAGAGAATGATGTGACCACTGCTGGCAGAAACTTAATTAAACTCCTCTTCAAGGATCAACTTTAAAGAAGAGAAGTCTGAGAGCAAGAGAAAGGAGGGTGTTGACCATCCATCAGTGAGTTTGACTGCAGAGGTTCAGCCTCATGTAACACCAAACAGAGGACCCTACCCCTACAACCAGCCACGAAGGTGAGTACATGCATGCACACACACGCACGCAGGCACACGCACATGTACATGCACACATGCGTGCAGACACACATAATGATGACCCCAGCACTACAGCTACTCCTGGATTTGAGTACACAACCTACCAACTACAGAAAGAGTAGTAAGAAATAGAAATAGCCACTGGTACTTCATGAGTGATGGAGGAATGTAGTATGTTTGAACATTTTCGGTTATTTATGGAGGTATCAGCTATGGAACTGGTGTGCACATCAAGGGGTGTATACAGGTTTTTACTTTAACATGTCTGTACACATGATACATTAATAATTCAATTCTTATCTTTAAATGTGTCAGCAAAAATGACTTCATGGATTTTTCTTTAAACCATAAACAGTGAGGTGAGGTGAGGTGAAATTGGGTTGAACGTTGTGCTTGAGAATATTTCGCTCATATGACGACGTGCATGCATGGGTATGTGTATGTGCGGCTGCTTGTACTAGCCCAGACTTAAGCTGGTTTTATAGTGCTAGCTCACTGAGATACCATGCCGCAGTGAAGCATGAATACCCCACTCAGACACATTATACTAACTCCGAGCCGACCAGTCCTTGTTGTACCCATTAATGCCGAGCGCCAGGCGGGGACCAACAAGTACCATATTTTAACGTGTTTTGGTATGATGCGGTCGGGGATCGAACCCGCGACCTTCCGCTCTCCGGGCGGACTCTCTAACCACTACACCACGGAGGCGGTCAGCAAGGGTAGGAAAGTCTGGTCGATGCAACAGTACTAAAACAGTAGCTAAGTACAGTGCAAACCTGATAAGTAAAATTTCAAGGGACTCGCCAAAATTGTTTACTTATCAGGTATTTTACTTATCCAAACTGATAAAAAACCTGCAAATGACAACCATATGCATGTATATGTATGCATATGTAACAATGAACCACTTATCAGGGCTGGCCTCCAGTTGTCAGTGTATTGTCAACTGCATGACGCCAGCGAGCTGTACGTAGGATGTTTGTTTAGCTGGAGACTGACACGTGCCCCTCATGTCGGATTATGTGGTAATCACTAATTTAGTTATCCAGTCTCTTTTGTTAAGTAATTTACTTCCAGGGACCGTGAGAAGACGTTTAGTTAAGCGGTATTGTTTACTTATCCGAGTTTAGTTAACCAGACTCTAATAGTGATAATTAATGAAGAAATTTGCCGGGACCAAAGAAAAGTGTTTACTTATCAGGTCTGTTTAGTTAAGCGGTCTTTACTTAGGTGGTTTCCACTGTATATGAAATCGGTGACATCATTATATGACCAGCCAGTCAGGCAGTAGATGTTGCTGACAGTGCAGTTCTGTATTTGTATCCACCGACTGATGCCTTGGGATGTTGTTGCCAGGAACTCCATCCGGTTCACCCCGACTCAGATCGAGGCTATCCGGGCAGGGATGCAGCCAGGGCTGACCATGGTGGTCGGACCCCCGGGAACGGGTAAAACTGACGTGGCGGTACAGATCATCTCCAACATCTACCACAACTTCCCCGACCAGAGGACGCTGATAGTCACACACTCTAACCAGGTACACACACCATATAGCATTGTGTCTACATCATGTCAAACTTCTTGATAACAGAAATGTTTTATATTTTGATCCAAATTTCTACACCTTTGGACTTGGTCTTCAAACCGTTTGGGCCAAGTTGTTCCAGAGTAGAATGATAGGTGTGCCAGAAACCTGTGACTGTTAGGTCAGTTCGTAAATGTGAGTCTATTCTATATGCCCCCCTGCTGTGACTTTGCTGGAATAGTAATGCGCTCTTGAGTTAAGTGTTAAGCATTAGTAATCTTTTTAAAAGGCTGCTTTTTGCAACATTCAAGCACTATACCTAGGGACACCAGTAATGGACTTCATACAGTGGAACCATTTTAGGAACTGAACCTGGGTATTCAGTGTGAGAGTTGAATCTTTAAACCACTTGGCTGCCCCATCCCCCTGTTTATTAAGAATACTTTTTACCCACGTCTATCATCTGTCATGCAGTTATATATGTATGTGGTGTGTGTTGTAGGCCTTGAACCAGCTATTTGAGAAGATCATGGCTTTAGACATTGATGAAAGACATTTGCTACGTCTGGGTCATGGTGAAGAGGCTCTTGAAACTGAGAAAGATTTCAGCAGGTAATCGATAATTCTTATTATATTTTTAATCATAGCAAGGATATTAGCATGAGCATGAGGAATTGCTGAAATGTTGAGTTTGAGATTGCAGGGTATAATTATCAGAAATATTGCTTCTGTAGTTAAGTTACAAAATAATAATAAATAGCAATAATAATTACGACTTGTATTCATTCTGTATAAAAATTGTAAATTGTAAATGGATAATCTTTCTATTGTATACAATTTCCATAACCTTTTAACAACTCACATTAGCTCCATAAGAAAAGCATCAAAATACTGATATGTTGCTCTGCTTGCAGATATGGTCGCGTTAATTATGTTCTGGCTCAGCGACTCGAACTGCTGGAGGAAGTGGCAAGGTTGCAAGGCAGTCTGGGAGTAACAGGAGATATGTCGTACACGTGTGAGACCGCTGGCTACTTCTATCTGTACCAGGTGAGGATGCACATTATACACTCTTGCGGTTGTTCAATTTTGACTTAACCTTAACAATAATACAGTCGTCACCTCTCCATGTCAATTCTATTTAACAATACAAATGTACATTATTATTGACAATAGAAAGTGATAATTCTCACTTAATCTGGGCTTCAGGTATTAGCAAGATGGGAAGAATTTCTGAGTAAGCTGAGAGCCACCAAGGATAAAGTAAGTATGGAAATTAATCTTATACTATATTGAATGTAAGCACTCTCCAGTTGTTTTCTGGCATTTCTAAAATTTATTACCAGAAGTGTTTTCGATGATTTATGCATGTTGCAATGTATTAATGTTCTATATTTCTCAGTCCCCATCCCCCCTGAATGGTCAGATAAGAATAGGTCATCAGTACCCCATGTAGTGAGTGAGTGAGTGAGTTAATAGTTAACGTAACATCGGCAATATCTCAGCCCTATCGTGTCGAAAACAATTTATACAATATAAAGAGAGAACATGTTGAAGATTAAAACCTGTCGACGCAGTACCCCATGTAAGAGCTAACTGAAGGTGTTCTGATGTTGGCATTGTCAGACCTAGATAATTACGTATCATCTTGTTACCAAGACCTGGATACGACCCGTGAAGATTCGGATTAGAATTGGTCTTCAGTAACCCATGCTTATTGTAAGAGTCGACTAACGGGATCGGGTGGTCAGGCTCGCTGACTTAGTTGACACTTGTCATCGTATCCCAATTGCGTAGATCGATGCTCATGCTGTTGATCACTGGATTGTCGGGTCCAGACTCGATTATTTACGGACCGCCATCATATAGCTGGAATATTGTTGAGTGCGGCATTAAACAACCAACCAACCAACCAACCAACCATGACCTGGATACAGGTTACTTGTACTGCCAGGCTAAATCTGACCAGTCGCATTGATGTAGCAGCAACATCACTGACTGCAGATTAAAAGAACTCACTCACTCACTCACTCACTCACTCACTCACTCACTCACTCACTCACTCACTCACTCACTCACTCACTCACTCACTCACTCACTCACTCACTCACTCTAATTTTCTATCTATCAATTAAAAAGCTGCAGTGACAAATTGGTTCATCATGAACCCATACAGCAACTAACAGATTGGGTGGCCAGGTTTCACTGATATATACTGAAAGGCAAAAGAAACGTCGTATGTAGATGGGATAGTAACTGGTGGAATAGATGACTCTGTGGTTAGAAGAAACAAGGACACAATGAAAAGATAACAGAAGTTTGTTTGACAAACATTTGTTTATTAAGGCATTTGGTGTTGTTTGTCACATCCGATTCACCGATGACATCATTGGAAGGAACCGTAACCGGAAGGAATCGGGTGTGACCACCATTTGCATTCACAACTGCAGCACACCTCCTGATCATAGAGTGCACGAGGCGATTCACATAGGCCATAGGAACCCGGTCTTGGTCTAATGTCATTGAGGCGTCTTTGGATCTCATCCCACAAATGCTCTATTGGGTTGAGGTCTGGGCTCAGGGTTGGCCATGGCATGGTTTCCACATTATGCTGCTTCAGAAATGCTCCAATGAGTCTGGCAGTATGTGCACGCGCATTGTCCTGCTGGAAAACGTGACGCCGATGACGTGCAAAAAACGTCACAACATGGGGCCATAGGACTTCGTCGATGTACTGGGCAGCTGTCACACCATTCCCTCTTCCTGGACAGAGATTCTATAAGATTACAGGCCTGATTTTCTGGTTAAGTCTGATGCCACCCTATACCATAATGCTCTGACTACCCCAAGCGTTTCTCTCCATCGCGCACTCATCATTGAAGCATTCTCCTCTGCAATGCCAGACCCTAGTCCTCCCATCAGCTGCAGATACGCAATAGCAACTTTCATCGGAGAAGATAATAGTTCTCCTCTGGCTCTGATGCCAGTGTTGTCTCTGTTGTGCCCAGTGTAGACGTTCATGGTGGTGACGTTGCGTTAGCACTGGACCCAGGGCAGGACGTCTACAGCACAGGTTGCTGGCTTGGAGGCGTTGCCGAATGGTGCGATCACTGATTGCTCTTTTGTGGGTGCCAATGGTGTTTCGAGCTGTCTCTGTTGCCTTGTTGAACCGGTCTTGCAGGTGGTGACAGAGGATCTGACGGTCCTGGCAACAGGTGGTTACCAGGGATGACCACTGCATGGACGGTCATCTGTGCTGTTGGTGGTGTTGAACCGCTGTCGGAGACGTTGGCAATGACAGTAACACGTTGACCTGCGTGTAGACGTCTGATGGCCTGTTGACATTGATACTTTGTTAACCTAGGCATAGCAGCTGTAGTCAGGAAACAACTGAAGGATCGGTAGTCAAACACGGAATTTATACCCTGTTCAATGTTGCGTTTGGTTGAGCTGTTCCTTGTCCAAAAACAGTGAAACATTTTGAAACCATCCAAAAAGTTGGTGCGTTGTACAAACTTATCATTTAGTCTTCGAATCATGTTTTTTAAATGTTGTTTTTAGCCATCAAATAACAGCCAATCAATCAAAATACATCATTGATACCAAATCCATAATCTAAAAAATACGACGTTTGTTTTACCTTTCAGTATATATGCTATTATATCCCAGTTGCCTAGATCTATACTAATAATGTCCATCACTGGATTTTCTTCAGTGCAGCATCAAGAAGCAACATTTTTTCTAATTAATGTTTTCACAGTTCTTATCAGGTGCATGAATATTTGTTGCAGGAGCAGAATGTGAAAGTGATCGATGAGATATTCCCCTTTAAGAAATTCTTCGACAATGCACCGCAACCTTTGTTCAAGCGACGCAGCTATGCAGAGGATCTGGACATCTCAGAGGGATGCTTTAGACATATCAAGAAAATATTCACACAACTGGAGGTAGGACAATGTTATCTACTCTTACGTTGATATACTTGTAGACCCTGTGGGCATGAAAGTATAGGTTCCTTGTATCCCCATGTATCCTGTTTATCCCATGTATCCCTGTATAGCATCTCGTATACCATGTATCCTGTTTATCCCATGTATCCCTGTATAGCATCTCGTATACCATGTATCCTGTTTATCCCATGTATCCCTGTATAGCATCTCGTATACCATGTATCCTGTTTATCCCATGTATCCCTGTATAGCATCTCGTATACCATGTATCCTGTTTATCCCATGTATCCCTGTATAGCATCTCGTATACCATGTATCCTGTTTATCCCATGTATCCCTGTATAGCATCTCGTATACCATGTATCCTGTTTATCCCATGTATCCCTGTATAGCATCTCGTATACCATGTATCCTGTTTATCCCATGTATCCCTGTATAGCATCTCGTATACCATGTATCCTGTTTATCCCATGTATCCCTGTATAGCATCTCGTATACCATGTATTTAAAACTTACTGATCTACCTTACACACCCACACATGCCCACACTTACATACATGCATGCACGCACGCACATGCACACGCACACACACACACACACCCACATACACACCTACACCCACGCATGCACACGCACACACACACACATACACATGCACGCATGCACGCACGAGCGTGCACGCCCAACTACAGAACCACCTACCCCCCAACCTACCCAAGATCACAGGATCTGTAGAGATAGTATTGTGGACTCGTGTATAAACCCCCTCTCTATCCCGCATCAGCATGTTCCAAATGGAGTCGACAGAACCAATGGCTGGTGTTTGACTCTCTTGTTGTAACTGTACTATGTAAGCATAGCCAGCAGTCCACACACATTCTCTCCCTCCAGGAGTTCCGAGCGTTTGAGTTGTTGCGGAGTGGAGCTGACCGAGCCAACTACCTGCTGATCAAGGAAGCCAAGATTATTGCCATGACCTGTACCCATGCTGCCTTAAAGAGGAGGGATCTCGTCAGTGTGGGCTTCAAGGTATGTGCTTTTGTCACATTACCCATATTGTCGTATTATTATTATAGGATATTTATATAGCGCACATATCCACGCACTAGTGCATGCTCAAGGCCGCTGGTATTTTTTCCCTCGATCATTGGATGTCAATCTCAAAGGCACATCGCATTATCAATCTCAACTCCCTGGGGAGTATTTCCTTCTCTGTTCAGGCTTGCTTACATTTAATCATCTTTTTTGGTCATGTTAAATCATAATAAAATTACCTTGCACAGACAAAATAATGAATTATTGAAAGCGATTGATCTATACCTCAAAATACGTAGATATTTTTGTTTGGAATAGAGATGATATTCAAAATTTAAACTGAAAGTAATATGAATTGTTTCTTTCCAATTTTTCAAAACGTTTGGGTCTTGGGATGAGTATTTAATATGAAAAGAAACTATAGATTTTGCTGGTATTACTAAGGATTTTATTACCAGTATTATTATAGTATTGAGAATACCTGAATGTGCCCACGCGCTGTTCTGTTTGCAGTTTGACAACATTCTGATGGAGGAAGCAGCACAGATTCTGGAGATTGAGACCTTCATCCCTCTCCTGCTGCAGGTACAGTGCACATGTTCGGATGAATAGGTCCCATTACATGTGATCTGCTAACCAAACATTTCTTTTAGGTGTGTTTCCATAGGTGAAATGGGGTTTAACCTCGTACTTACGAATATTTCGCTCATATGACGACTTGCATGCGTGTGTATGTGTGGCTGCTTGTACTAGGCGAGACTTAAGCTGGTTTTATAGTGCTAGGCGCACTCACCAATATTGAAAATATATACCGGGGTATGTGGGAATGGTTTAATAAATGGAACAGATTTCGCGGGCGTATGAAAGGACAAATATGGATCATATGCTCATTACTGACTCATTCAGTTACTCAGTATTTTGATCTGTACCTCCTTCACCAGAACCCAGAGGATGGTAACAACCGCCTGAAGCGATGGATCATGATCGGCGACCACCACCAGCTGCCCCCCGTCATCAAGAACATGGCCTTCCAGAAGTTCTCAAACATGGAGCAGTCCCTCTTCACTCGGCTGGTCCGACTTGGAGTGCCAACCGTGGACCTAGACGCACAAGGGAGAGCCAGAGCAAGGTAAGTTTTTCTCTGTTGTCATGGGAGACTTTGTGTTCCATCAATGGACATAACTAAGTATATGGCTGACTCCCATTCACACAACATGCGTGCGTGTGACTCAACATGAAAAAAATTATAGAACTCTGTTTTGACTGGTAGTCGTAAGATAAACATATAATTTGCCTTCCAGTTTACACTTATAAATTAATGAATGTCCCTTTGTCCCCCAGTTTGGCCAGTCTGTACAACTGGCGCTACAAGAAGCTGGGGAGTCTCCCCCACGTCCTCAACCGTCCAGAGTTCCAGATGGCCAATCCAGGCTTTGTGTTTGACTATCAGCTGGTGGATGTTGGTGACTTCAATGGTGTTGGGGAGTCGGAGCCAAACCCATACTTCTATCAGGTAGGTCCGGCTTGTCATCACGCTGGTGGTAGTTAGCAGTAGACATGTCTCAACTAAAGTACTGCTACAACTGTGCTCCAGTCACTCATCAAATGACTTCTTTCATGGTTTAGTGGGTCAAGCCTCTGCCTGGAGAGAGGAAGGTCAAATGTTTTGATTCCAGATATACCAAAAGCAGCGTTTAAAATTCCCACCTGCCCGACCGTCTAGAACAGTCTGTTTTCATCTCGGACGGTCAAATTTCAAAAGTAGCCTGTCCGGTAGTCTGGTAGATATTTTTACCCAGAACAGTAAATATTACATAATATCAGACAGGCTCTCTTGTCGTCAGTTTCAGGTGTTTAAGATATTATGTTAAACTTCTTACGATTGGACAGTTCATGTTACGATTACCAATCACAACACGTGTACTTTCAGTTTACCTAAACCTGGTGAATTGCCTGTTAGTGCTATGTAGTTCATTGCGATGCCTACAAACAGTAAAGTTTTCAGGAACCTGCTTTTCTTTTTCTTTTTTTAATTTTTTCTTTTTATTGCTGAAAACCGGACAGGCAAGTTTGTATCCGGACTGGTAATTGTTTACAGTTAACAGTCCGGCTGTCTGGCTTGGAATTTGTTTAGTTTTAAACATGCCAAAAGACATGAATAGATGACTGTGTGGATTAAAGTATACTGATGTGAATGAGCTATCCATGCTAAACTGATGCAGGGTATCTCAAATAACTAGCACTTAAGTTGCAATATAGTGCAGCAATCTTGAACATGACATTAAACATTCAACATGGGTTTCCTGATCTCAAATGGTTATATTCACTGTTGTTTGAGACAAAAACACCATACCGCTGTGACCGGATGAACTCCTTAAGTTACGTCAACAATGAGTTGATATCATGTAACATTTTTATGTTTGGCTGCAAACAATGAAAGCAATAGCACATTTGGTGAGAACCAGACAAGTGAAGCTAAGCTATAAGTGGGATTTCCTGGCAATTATTCCACCGCCATGCATGCTGCTATGGGTACTCTAACCATTGTGAACCCACTTATCTGTTGTAGAACTTGGCAGAGGCGGAGTATGTCGTGGCTCTGTTCATGTACATGCGGCTGATTGGCTACCCTGCAGAGAAGATCTCCATCCTTACAACATACAACGGACAGAAACATCTTATCCGAGACGTCATACACCAGCGCTGCGGAGACAACCCATTCATTGGCAGACCTCACAAGGTGAGACTTGTTATGGCCGTACAGTGCAGTGTTGACACATTACTTAAAATGCAGTTATTCCTTAATTTGTTTGGATCTATTATTTTATTAACATATGTAAGGTCTTTCCATATAGTCCCTTGCATCTGACTAGAGTGAGTCAGTGAGTTTAGTTTTACGCCGCTTTTAGCAATATTCCAACGATATCACAGTGGGGGACACCAGAAATGGCCATCAAACATTGTACTCATGTGGGCAATGGAACCCAGGTTTTCGGGGTGACAAGTGAACGCTTTAACCACTCAGCTACCCTACCGCCCTGTATCTGACTAGAAAATATATGGCCATGTAAATCCTACCCCAAAAGTTCAGTTGTCAAATTCTTAAGTGAAATATCGTTTTGTTAGAGCAGTACAATGAATAGCAACAACCTCAAGTCATAGAACTTGCTGTTAATGAATCTGTTGATACAACCTGTATCACAGCTATCTGTAGATATGTTAATGATACTGTTGATACAACCTGTATCACAGCTATCTGTAGATATGTTAATGAATCTGTTGATACAACCTGTATCACAGCTATCTGTAGATATGTTAATGATACTGTTGATACAACCTGTATCACAGCTATCTGTAGATATGTTAATGATACTGTTGATACCACCTGTATCACAGCTATCTGTAGATATGTTAATGAATCTGTTGATACAACCTGTATCACAGCTATCTGTAGATATGTTAATGAATCTGTTGATACAACCTGTATCACAGCTATCTGTAGATATGTTAATGAATCTGTTGATACAACCTGTATCACAGCTATCTGTAGATATGTTAATGATACTGTTGATACAACCTGTATCACAGCTATCTGTAGATATGTTAATGATACTGTTGATACAACCTGTATCACAGCTATCTGTAGATATGTTAATGAATCTGTTGATACAACCTGTATCACAGCTATCTGTAGATATGTTAATGATACTGTTGATACAACCTGTATCACAGCTATCTGTAGATATGTTAATATGTTAACCTGATACTGTTGATAATGATACATACCTGTATCACAGCTATCTGTAGATATGTTAATGATACTGTTGATACAACCTGTATCACAGCTATCTGTAGATATGTTAATGAATCTGTTGATACAACCTGTATCACAGCTATCTGTAGATATGTTAATGATACTGTTGATACAACCTGTATCACAGCTATCTGTAGATATGTTAATGATACTGTTGATACAACCTGTATCACAGCTATCTGTAGATATGTTAATGATACTGTTGATACAACCTGTATCACAGCTATCTGTAGATATGTTAATGAATCTGTTGATACCACCTGTATCACTGCTATCTGTAGATATGTTAATGATACTGTTGATACAACCTGTATCACTGCTATCTGTAGATATGTTAATGATACTGTTGATACAACCTGTATCACAGCTATCTGTAGATATGTTTATGATACTGTTGATACAACCTGTATCACAGCTATCTGTAGATATGTTAATGATACTGTTGATACAACCTGTATCACTGCTATCTGTAGATATGTTAATGATACTGTTGATACAACCTGTATCACTGCTATCTGTAGATATGTTAATGATACTGTTGATACAACCTGTATCACAGCTATCTGTAGATATGTTAATGATACTGTTGATACAACCTGTATCACAGCTATCTGTAGATATGTTAATGATACTGTTGATACAACCTGTATCACAGCTATCTGTAGATATGTTAATGAATCTGTTGATACAACCTGTATCACAGCTATCTGTAGATATGTTAATGATACTGTTGATACAACCTGTATCACAGCTATCTGTAGATATGTTAATGATACTGATACAACCTGATCACAACCTGTTGATCACAGCTATCTGTAGATATGTTAATGATACTGTTGATACAACCTGTATCACAGCTATCTGTAGATATGTTAATGAATCTGTTGATACAACCTGTATCACAGCTATCTGTAGATATGTTAATGAATCTGTTGATACAACCTGTATCACAGCTATCTGTAGATATGTTAATGATACTGTTGATACAACCTGTATCACAGCTATCTGTAGATATGTTAATGATACTGTTGATACCACCTGTATCACAGCTATCTGTAGATATGTTAATGATACTGTTGATACAACCTGTATCACAGCTATCTGTAGATATGTTAATGATACTGTTGATACAACCTGTATCACAGCTATCTGTAGATATGTTAATGATACTGTTGATACCACCTGTATCACAGCTATCTGTAGATATGTTAATGATACTGTTGATACAACCTGTATCACAGCTATCTGTAGATATGTTAATGAATCTGTTGATGCACAACCTGTATCACAGCTATCTGTAGATATGTTAATGATACTGTTGATACCACCTGTATCACAGCTATCTGTAGATATGTTAATGATACTGTTGATACAACCTGTATCACAGCTATCTGTAGATATGTTAATGATACTGTTGATACAACCTGTATCACAGCTATCTGTAGATATGTTAATGATACTGTTGATACCACCTGTATCACAGCTATCTGTAGATATGTTAATGATACTGTTGATACAACCTGTATCACTGCTATCTGTAGATATGTTAATGAATCTGTTGATACAACCTGTATCACAGCTATATGTAGATATGTTAATGAATCTGTTGATACCACCTGTATCACAGCTATCTGTAGATATGTTAATGAATCTGTTGATACAACCTGTATCACAGCTATCTGTAGATATGTTAATGATACTGTTGATACCACCTGTATCACTGCTATCTGTAGATATGTTAATGAATCTGTTGATACAACCTGTATCACAGCTATCTGTAGATATGTTAATGAATCTGTTGATACAACCTGTATCACTGCTATCTGTAGATATGTTAATGATACTGTTGATACAACCTGTATCACAGCTATATGTAGATATGTTAATGATACTGTTGATACCACCTGTATCACAGCTATCTGTAGATATGTTAATGAATCTGTTGATACCACCTGTATCACTGCTATCTGTAGATATGTTAATGATACTGTTGATACCACCTGTATCACTGCTATCTGTAGATATGTTAATGATACTGTTGATACAATCTGTATCACAGCTATCTGTAGATATGTTAATGATACTGTTGATACCACCTGTATCACAGCTATCTGTAGATATGTTAATGATACTGTTGATACCACCTGTATCACAGCTATCTGTAGATATGTTAATGAATCTGTTGATACCACCTGTATCACTGCTATCTGTAGATATGTTAATGATACTGTTGATACAACCTGTATCACTGCTATCTGTAGATATGTTAATGATACTGTTGATACAACCTGTATCACAGCTATCTGTAGATATGTTAATGATACTGTTGATACAACCTGTATCACAGCTATCTGTAGATATGTTAATGATACTGTTGATACAACCTGTATCACAGCTATCTGTATATATGTTAATGATACTGTTGATACAACCTGTATCACAGCTATCTGTAGATATGTTAATGAATCTGTTGATACAACCTGTATCACAGCTATCTGTAGATATGTTAATGATACTGTTGATACAACCTGTATCACTGCTATCTGTAGATATGTTAATGATACTGTTGATACAACCTGTATCACAGCTATCTGTAGATATGTTAATGATACTGTTGATACAACCTGTATCACAGCTATCTGTAGATATGTTAATGATACTGTTGATACAACCTGTATCACTGCTATCTGTAGATATGTTAATGATACTGTTGATACAACCTGTATCACTGCTATCCGTAGATATGTTAATGATACTGTTGATACAACCTGTATCACAGCTATCTGTAGATATGTTAATGATACTGTTGATACAACCTGTATCACTGCTATCTGTAGATATGTTAATGAATCTGTTGATACAACCTGTAAAACAGCTATATGTAGATATGTTAATGAATCTGTTGATACCACCTGTATCACAGCTATCTGTAGATATGTTAATGAATCTGTTGATACAACCTGTATCACTGCTATCTGTAGATATGTTAATGATACTGTTGATACCACCTGTATCACTGCTATCTGTAGATATGTTAATGAATCTGTTGATACAACCTGTATCACAGCTATCTGTAGATATGTTAATGAATCTGTTGATACAACCTGTATCACTGCTATCTGTAGATATGTTAATGATACTGTTGATACAACCTGTATCACAGCTATATGTAGATATGTTAATGAATCTGTTGATACCACCTGTATCACAGCTATCTGTAGATATGTTAATGATACTGTTGATACAACCTGTATCACAGCTATCTGTAGATATGTTAATGATACTGTTGATACAACCTGTATCACAGCTATCTGTAGATATGTTAATGAATCTGTTGATACCACCTGTATCACTGCTATCTGTAGATATGTTAATGATACTGTTGATACAACCTGTATCACAGCTATCTGTAGATATGTTAATGAATCTGTTGATACCACCTGTATCACAGCTATCTGTAGATATGTTAATGATACTGTTGATACAACCTGTATCACTGCTATCTGTAGATATGTTAATGAATCTGTTGATACCACCTGTATCACAGCTATCTGTAGATATGTTAATGATACTGTTGATACCACCTGTATCACAGCTATCTGTAGATATGTTAATGATACTGTTGATACAACCTGTATCACAGCTATCTGTAGATATGTTAATGAATCTGTTGATACCACCTGTATCACAGCTATCTGTAGATATGTTAATGATACTGTTGATACAACCTGTATCACTGCTATCTGTAGATATGTTAATGATACTGTTGATACAACCTGTATCACAGCTATCTGTAGATATGTTAATGATACTGTTGATACAACCTGTATCACAGCTATCTGTAGATATGTTAATGAATCTGTTGATACAACCTGTATCACAGCTATCTGTAGATATGTTAATGAATCTGTTGATACCACCTGTATCGCAGCTATCTGTAGATATGTTAATGAATCTGTTGATACCACCTGTATCACAGCTATCTGTAGATATGTTAATGATACTGTTGATACAACCTGTATCACTGCTATCTGTAGATATGTTAATGATACTGTTGATACAACCTGTATCACAGCTATCTGTAGATATGTTAATGATACTGTTGATACAACCTGTATCACAGCTATCTGTAGATATGTTAATGATACTGTTGATACAACCTGTATCACAGCTATCTGTAGATATGTTAATGAATCTGTTGATACAACCTGTATCACAGCTATCTGTAGATATGATAATGAATCTGTTGATACAACCTGTATCACTGCTATCTGTAGATATGTTAATGATACTGTTGATACAACCTGTATCACTGCTATCTGTAGATATGTTAATGATACTGTTGATACAACCTGTATCACAGCTATCTGTAGATATGTTAATGATACTGTTGATACAACCTGTATCACAGCTATCTGTAGATATGTTAATGATACTGTTGATACAACCTGTATCACAGCTATCTGTAGATATGTTAATGAATCTGTTGATACAACCTGTATCACAGCTATCTGTAGATATGTTAATGAATCTGTTGATACAACCTGTATCACAACTATCTGTAGATATGTTAATGATACTGTTGATACAACCTGTATCACAGCTATATGTAGATATGTTAATGATACTGTTGATACAACCTGTATCACAGCTATCTGTAGATATGTTAATGATACTGTTGATACAACCTGTATCACAGCTATCTGTAGATATGCTAATGAATCTGTTGATACAACCTGTATCACAGCTATCTGTAGATATGTTAATGATACTGTTGATACAACCTGTATCACAGCTATCTGTAGATATGATAATGAATCTGTTGATACAACCTGTATCACAGCTATCTGTAGATATGTTAATGAATCTGTTGATACAACCTGTATCACAGCTATCTGTAGATATGTTAATGATACTGTTGATACAACCTGTATCACAGCTATCTGTAGATATGTTAATGATACTGTTGATACAACCTGTATCACAGCTATCTGTAGATATGTTAATGATACTGTTGATACAACCTGTATCACAGCTATCTGTAGATATGTTAATGAATCTGTTGATACAACCTGTATCACAGCTATCTGTAGATATGATAATGAATCTGTTGATACAACCTGTATCACAGCTATCTGTAGATATGTTAATGAATCTGTTGATACAACCTGTATCACAGCTATCTGTAGATATGTTAATGAATCTGTTGATACCACCTGTATCACAGCTATCTGTAGATATGCTAATGAATCTGTTGATACAACCTGTATCACAGCTATCTGTAGATATGTTAATGAATCTGTTGATACAACCTGTATCACAGCTATATGTAGATATGTTAATGAATCTGTTGATACAACCTGTATCACAGCTATATGTAGATATGTTAATGAATCTGTTCATACCACCTGTATCACAGCTATATGTAGATATGTCTGTGTGCCTGTAGCATACAGGTACGTGTAATCGTGTCATAATTTACTGGTAATCATGTTTTGTCAGGTGACTACTGTGGACAGGTACCAGGGTCAGCAGAACGACTACATCTTGTTGTCGCTCGTTAGGACCAAGACCGTCGGACATCTCAGGTACGTGGAAAAGAGAAACATTACATGAAGGTTGAATAAAGTTTTGACCATGTAGGCAACATTTGTTTATTGCACTTTTAACGCCTACTTTTTATATTCTAGAGATGTCCGCCGTCTGGTTGTGGCTATGTCCCGAGCTCGACTTGGTCTATACATCTTCGCTAGAGTCGGTCTCTTCAGCAACTGCTATGAGCTTACACCAACATTCAACAGGGTAAGTTGGCTTTACACCAGGGTATGTTAGTCTTTACACCAACATTCAACAGGGTAAGATGGCTTTACACCAGGGTATGTTAGTCTTTACACCAACATTCAACAGGGTAAGATGGCTTTACACCAGGGTATGTTAGTCTTTACACCAACATTCAACAGGGTAAGATGGCTTTACACCAGGGTATGTTAGTCTTTACACCAACATTCAACAGGGTAAGTTGGCTTTACACCAGGGTATGTTAGTCTTTACACCAACATTCAACAGGGTAAGTTGGCTTTACACCAGGGTATGTTAGTCTTTACACCAACATTCAACAGGGTAAGATGGCTTTACACCAGGGTATGTTAGTCTTCATACCTACATTCAACAGGGTAAGTTGGCTTAACACCAACATTCAGCAGAGCAAGTTAGTCTTTATACCCTCACCCAAAAATGTTGTTGGACTTACACCTACAGCCAACATGATTAATTACGAGAGATATTTGGCAACATGGCCAACCAACAGGGCAAGTCAAAGGAGGTAATTCTGGTGCCTTCATCTACATTCAACTTGGTTAGTCAACTAACACTACAGGGTTGTTTGTTTGCTATGCTATTCTGTATGTTGACAGAACTGCTTTGATAAACTAGAGAGGCATTGGTTGCTGCTCTGCTTGTCAGCAGGAATTTCTTATTAATCCTCCTGTTTATCAAATTTTAATTTTTTAGCTTTGATTTCTAAATAGGGCTGAAAATATCAATGCATATTATCTTTCAGATGTGTATATGTTAAAACCACAATGCACTAAACAGATGTATTGTTAACAGCAGAATGTATTTTCATCTTTGTTTGTTCCACAGTTAACGTCCCGACCTCTGAAGCTTCACATCGTGCCCCAGGAGGGGTTCCCACCCGGGAGACAGGTGAGACTTATTAACTACACCTGTGTCCAACTGTTAATTCAAATGTCTATGTTACCTGCAAATATAGCTATGTAAATTGAAGGACCCGTGAAATTACTACATTTAGAAATATTTCCTCTTGCCAATATCATGTTATGGGCAATCATACAGTTGTACGAATGATAGTGTGTGTCTCATCTTCGGGGGTTGTGGGGTAGCCAAATGGTTAAAGCTGAAGACCTGTTGGATTCCCCATGGGTACAATGTGTGAAGCCCATTTCTGGTGTCCCCCGCCGTGATTTTACTGTAATATTGCTTAGGGACCGTTCATAATTTGTGGCTAGGGCCCCCCTCCCCTTTCCATATATTTAAAGCATAATTTTTAAATATTTTTATGTACAAAATTGCTGAACCAACCCCCCTACAAACATGTGTACAAAATTGATGACACCCCCCACACACACCTCCCGAGAACAATATGGGTGACCCCCCCTTAAAATCATCATCACCACCACCACCCCAGCCATAAATTATGAACGGAACCTTAAAGCTATACTCACTCACTCATGAACTCATGAACTCACTCATGAACTCACTCATGAACTCACTCATGAACTCACTCATGAAAACCCAATAGCTGATTGACAGCATTCACTCACTAACTTGCTCACCTAAGGAAGATTCTTTTCTTGACACTAGAGGTTGGTGTAAAGAACAAGGACAAGTTGTTTTGGATGAAATTGTTTTTATACATTCTGAAATATATACCTGACCTGAAACACTGTTACCTCCACAGGTACAAGAGCGTCCAGACAGCACCCCGCTAGTCATCGATGACATGTCACAGATGGCCCAGTTTGTGTTTGACTTCTACAACTCCAAGGTTGACATGCTGATGAGACAGAGAGGCTTTACCAAGGTTAGTGCTGATAAACTTTCTAAGCTATGAAAATACACGGGCGGTGAGGTAGCCTAGTGGTTAAAGCGTTCACTTGTCACGCTGAGGACCAGGTTTCGATTCTCCACATGGGTACAATGTGTGAAGCCCATTTCTGGTGTCCCCGTCGCTATATTGCTGGAATATTTTTAGAAGCAGCGTAAAAACATGCTCACTCGCTCGCTATGAAAATACCCACGCCCCTTCTGACATGTATGCTTCTGTAGACAGGGTAAAGAACACTAACAACCGGAAACCGGAACCCTTAGCAGTTGTCATAAAACCTTAGCAGTTGTCATATGAAAACATTTGGGTGTTCTCAACTTCTTGTGAGTAGTAGGGCGGTGGGGTAGCCTAGTGGTTAAAGTGTTGGCTCGTCACGCCGAAGACCCGGGTTCGATTCCCCACATGGGCACAATGTGGGAAGCCCATTTCTGGTGTCCCCCGCCGTGATGTTGCTGGAATATTGCTAAAAGCGGCGTAAAACCAAACTCAGTCAGTCAGTCTTGTGAGTAGTGGATGGTGGGGTAGCCTAATGGTTAAAGCATCCGCTCGACACGCTGAAGACCCGGGTTCGATTCCCCACATGGGTGCAATGTGGGAAGCCCATTTCTGGTGTCCCCCACCGTGATATTGCTGGAATATTGCTAAAAGTGGCATAAAACCATACTCACTCACTCACTCACTCACTCTTGCGAGTAGTATGTACCAAGACTGCAGAAGATGTTTGTATTTGGACATAGACCTGTTTGTTTTTGAACTAGAACTGTAAATTCATGTTCATTTTGTAAAATGAAATATGACTGAAAAGGGTTTTTACATGTTAGATTGTAGTATGTGAGTACTGCTGGTGATCTTTGGGGCATGTTCCAGTGATCAAATACAGTCGATTACAGTCAATCTGTTGCCTTATGACTACACATTCAGCGATTATCAATTCCTTATTCTCAGCCTCATATTTAAGAGTCCATGATCCAACATATTCAACATACTCAAAGTACCCTTGTATTTATTCAGTGGATAAACCTATGGACATTTTTGGTCCCAGCAGCCTTAACTGGCCTTAAGTGGCGATCAGAGTGATCATATAAGGGTAATGCTATTTTTTAGGGCATTATCATTTGAGGAAGCCCTAGGTGTTCCATCAACTGCCCGACGAAGTGCAGTTGTTAAGGTTAGCACTGCTAAAGCGTGAATTTGGGTTGCTTTGACTTGTTTGCCCCAAAGCCAATGTCAAATGAACCGTCAGCCCACGCACCCACTATGACGTCACTTGACAACAGAACAGATAGTGGCCCATCGTTAAGGTTGAGCGGTCCAATATCATTTGCAGCGGCGGGCAAATTTCTGATAATAGGAGGGCCGTTTCATGATAATTCCATGTATTTTAGCTATAATACATGATAATGTATCAATGTACCCATATGGTGTAAATTGCTGCTAATATCAATCACTGTATTGTTTGGTCCAGATTTATTTTGTAAGTGCTGCCATTTTATAGCAGGAATATTTCTAAATGTGGCATTGACTACAAACACACACAGAGAGAACGCTTGTTTGTGTTTTATTAGATGATTGTTATTGTATAGTTACTGTTTTCATATTTCATAAACCTACAAATCAAAGCAGTGTTTTACGATCAATCCAACCCAGTTTCAAAACTTCTAACATAGTGAACATTTCAACTTTTAATTTCACTCTTTTGTATTATATACTTATTGAAGCTGCAGTAAAATATACTGTAACAGTCATCAGAGGTTTTCATCAGACATGGCAAGGAACTGATACACTTTAACTCTGTGTGTGGAAATAGTTGTCTGCAGCTAGCTTATCAGCAGGTTTACGATCCTGTAAAGAGTAAGGAAATGCTTCACTATTTCATCACGCTTAAAATCCCTGTATTTTTGTGATTATTAAACATAAAAAAACCCATAATGTCTACGTTGAAATAAGTTTCCAGTACTTGCAAGGCACACTTTTGTTAACACCATTACCTAGTGACCACATTTATCACATCAGACCAAAAATGATCATGACATGCACATGGACAATTTTGAACACGTGAATGAACTAAATGCACAGTATGATTGAAAAAAATGCATTTTGGTTTCAGAAAGAAACGTGTGTGCTCAGGCTCATCTAAATGGGAAGTGTTTTATTCTTTACAAGTGCTCTGTGGTAGATGTGAAATACAATTCATCTCTCTCTGCCTGTGTTTCAGCCAACACGACTGCGACAGCCTCCTCAGAATAAAAAAACTCCAGCAGAATGAACAAGAAGGTGTTATTATCAGGTATGTGATTATATTTCCTTTGATTTCAAACATTAACATTCATCCGTTCTTATCAGAAGACTTGCGGTTCAGCTAAGTGACTTGACTGAGTGAGTGAGTGTCACCATGTTTTAATTGCCGTGACTGATTCTAACAATATCACTCAGAGAAATTATTACATGAGCAAGCTCTCGCTCGAGCAATACATAATTTTGCATGAGTTTCGTATAAGTCGTATGAGACACTTGCTCGAGTGTCATAATTTCTTTATTATCCATTTTATTCATGTACATTTGTGCAGTAAAGCACGGTAAGCAAGTGTGATGGCCCTCTTCATTGACATCACATTCAATTGTTTAATGGCGTCACAGACGACGAAATACAGAAACAATGGTTGCTAGGCAAAAGTGATGTGTGCATATGTGCACAGAGGATATATATGACACTGGTTATGTTTCACCATATGGGTAATAAACTGGTATATCTCCTCCTGACTCCATTATTAACAGAGTGCTGTCATACTGGTCTAATGTTGTGAAGTCGAACGACAAACAAATATTTCATAATAATAATAATAATACTTTATTATTAAAGCGCCTAATATCCACAGTAGAGATGCTCAGTGGTGCTGTGACAATATTGGGGAAGGAAATAGTTCATATAGGTTTTACAGAAAGGCAGCAGTGAACAGATGGGTCATACGCAGATGCAATTATGAAACAATTCTGAGCAAATTAATCAAGAAAGTGTCACCAAACTCTCTCATATCAAGGGGCGGTGGGGGTAGTCACACCGAGGACCTGGGTTCGAATCCCCACATGGGTACAATGAGTGAAGCCCATTTCTGGTGTCCCCCGCTGTGATATTGCTGGAATATTGCTGAAAGTGGCGTAAAACCAAATTCAATCAGTCAGTCAGTCTCTCATATCAAGGGACTGAAAAGGAAAGTGGTATTATTTTGTTCAGTAGTCTGGATGGTCAGCTCAGTGAAGACTGCTACAGGGTCCCACCTGGCCAGCTGCCCATCTGACCGGTAAACATAGCTGTCAATCAACAGCATCAGTAAGAGCATGGTTCACAGATTAGGTTATCCTGTGTTCCTGGCCTGGCTGAACTGTTTACACTCTACAACACAACACTGTAACTTAATGATTAAATGCTGACAAAACACTTCGCTCTTCACTGGGGTACATGGAAATCTGTTAAGCCCGACAAAGAGAGTGAGGATTGGAAGCGTTCTGATTAACCAAGCCTTATTGTGAAATTACTAAAGTTTGCAGATAGAATATTACTTTAAGGTTGGGAATGGGTGGCCCAGTAGTCTATGATGCACACCATTAACCATGCCAGAAGTCATGGATTTGGCTCCAAGATTCACAGTGTCTATGTTGACTGAGTGCACCATAGTGTTAAATGTCCAAGATGTTCACCACTTCAGGCTTTGCTCTTGTTTCTGAAATACTGTTAAAGGTGTCTGGATCGAGCCCACCTGTGACCGGGTATAAAAACCTTGGAGTCAACTTTGAATGCAGACTCTTTCAGTGTTGTCACAGCCCCTAGTGTACAGTACACAACCCTGTGCACTTAAAAGAACCCAGGAATCCGTTGGTATATAACCAGATGGTGGCCACATGAATACATGCAAACACCTAGTTGCGGGTAGAGCAACGTGCAGTAAAACTTGGACAAAGTACTGTGACTATGTGTCCCAGTCCACCCAGCTGTGAATGGGTGCCTCGTTAGGATGAGAAAGCCACAATAACTCGGTGCGCCTAGTGGCTGCAAGAGTTGTATACTCCCCAGGGAGTTGAGAGTGATAATACGATGTGCCATTGAGATTGACATCCAATGATCGAGGGGAAAAATATCAGCGCCTTGAGTATGCACTAGTTGCCTGGATATGTGCGCTATATAAATATCCTATAACAATAATAATAATAAAGCAATGTATAAACACCACTCACTCGCTCATGTTTGTCAAACCGCATCCAAGGGAGGTAACTCTAAATCTCACTTCCCGTGCAGTTTGGTGACTACAGCAATCTATACTTTATGGGCATCTCAGTCATTTCCTGCCTCTGAAAATCACATGAAACCCATCACAATCTACTGCCACATAAAATTATACAGGTGTAGATATTCAGTGTTCAAATCATCAAGTCCTCACATCAAGAACAAACAATATTTCAGGAAGAACTAGAGATATGTTCATTTGCACCACCACTTTTCACCATCAAGAAGATAGCAACTCTCTTAGATTTTTTCCTGACATGTCAAAGGAAGAAATCATTTCTGAACATATGTTAGGTGTGTGAATGTCTTAAAGCCTCTGTGAGTCTGTGATCTGTATATTAGAGATAAACCGAATGTGTGTTGACCTTTGTGGAATGTTATCAGCAAATCAAGACAACTTTCAACATTTTGAGAACTGAGAAGATTTATCTGCTAATTAATGCATTGAAATATGGTTGCTATCAAAAGGAAATAAACCATTAATTAAGATAATCGTGCAAAGGGACTCTTCGTTGTCAACACGTTGCCAGCTATGTCATCAAATCAGGGGCAGATAACACGTGATTATTATTGTAATAGAATGTAATAAATGCTTTCCATGGTGTCTCTACTATGGTTCATGGGTTTATCTCATTCCCAAAGGAAGGTATGGCATCAAGCCTCAGAAATACAGATATCCTGTAACTGTGTCTTGAAGCCATGTATTGCATCTTCTGGATGTGCCCTGGAAAATGGTTACACTACCAGTTCTGGGAACATAATTAAATTTCAAGCTTTTAGACATTTCTGGTATGAGTGTGGTTCATGTCCTAGGCAGAAGAATATATGAGCTGTGGCACAATAGTTTCAAGCTGGTTGACTGACTGTGACAGAATTCATTGATCAGAGATGCCAACCTCTACGATTTTATCGTAGTCGTAGCCTCAAACTACGACAATGCGATTGAACTAGAAATTCTACGAAATTTGAAGAAAATTCATTACAATTCGGATATGTAGACAATAACATATATATTTTCGTCGATTATATACATTGTCACAATAAAAGATAAGAAATGTAAGGCTGATAATTTGGAAATCTGCTGTTGGAGGTATGTGAAATTAAAGCTTCACTCTTGATTAGTGTCATATTATCTTTCTCAGCATCCATCATGATTTTAAGTATTTAGTTGACTTCTAATTTTATGGTCAAAATAATTTTGATCCTTGAAACTACCATTTGCAACACTTTGGGGTTGGCATCTCTCAGAGTATTTTGACCACTCAGTTCTAGTAGTCTTGACCCTGTTCCACAAAGCGATGTTAGTGCTAAGGTGATCATAACTCAGATGTCTAAACAAAGACTTACAATCATCAGAGGACTAAGATCGTTTTGTGGAATGGATTCAGGATCTTGAAAGCAGAGAATCCTGGGGATCTTCTCAGATCCCAAGTTACAGTATTCCCAACTAGACTGGAGTTGCATCTGTTGGGCATGCCACTCACTCACTCACTCGCTCACTCGACCACCTCCGTGGTGTAGTGGTTCGAGCGTCCGCACGGAGAGCGGAAGGTCGCGGGTTCAATCCCCGACCGCGTCATACCAAAAGACGTTAAAATATGGTACTTGTTGGTCCCTGTCTGGCGCTCAGCATTAATGGGTACATCAAGGACTGGTCGGCTCAGAGTCAGTATAATGTGTCTGAGTGGGGTATTCATGCTTCACTACGGCATGGTATCTCAGTGGGCTAGCACTATAAAACCAGCTTCAGTCTGGGCTAGTACAAGCAGCCGCACATACACACACACATGCATGCACGTCGTCATATGAGCGAAATATTTTCAAGCACGACGTTAAGCCCAGTTTCACCTCACCTCACCTCACCTCACCTCACCTCACCTCACCTCACTCACTCACTCACTCACATCCTACGGTTTGTAGATCAGTATAGTGAGTAAAAGAGAAAAGTCACATATGAAATGAAGGACAGCATAACAAGTACGGTAGATTATCACAGATTTTGTTCTAAACTGGTAATAGAATTTTAAAAGATACAACTTTTATTAGACAGGACAATATACAACCAGCCTACAGATCACAACCAGCACCACACTGGAGACCATGTGTATTTATGGTACCTCTTCTACCTGTATGGTACATCAGTTAGATTTACACCACCCCACTAGTTACCTGAAACTGTCAGCAAGTAAGCCGAAAATCAAAACAAGCAGTTATTCCTTGGTTAAAAGCCTGTTAGAAATAAAGATACTTTGAATGATGGTGATTTACATATCTTCCAAGCTAATCAGAGATATGTTAAGGATTCCAGACAAAGTGCCTTTGGCAGGCAAATTGGGAAAAACATGTTGTGTTGCTCATCACTCGGTGTTTTATCTTTAAGTGGCATTTAGAAGCTGGAGTAACAATGCTGACAGACTTACAGATGTACCAAGTTTTTTCATTCTGATACAGATGCTACTACCTTTATAAAGTGAGAATTTGATAACGATACCAGCCTCTGGACTGCAGCATCATGTTGAAAGTGATTATTATTTGGGGATTAACGTGCGCTTTCCGACTTAATTCGTATTTTGCATGTTGAAATCTGTAAGTCAGGTACTAGGATGGTCAGCTGACTTGTATATACCCGGGTAACTCATGCTGTAATGGTGGTAAGCCTGACTCCCTCCCTATAAGGCTGTGTACTCTGAACTCAGAACAGATTAGGGGCGGTAGGGTAGCCTAGTGGTTAAAGCATTCTCTCGTCACGCCGAAGACTCGGGTTTGATTCCCCAGATGGGTAGAATATGTGAAGCCCATTTCTGGTGTCCCCTGCTGTGATATTGCTGGAGTATTGCTAAAAGCGGCGTAAAACCATACTCACTCACTCAATCAGAACAGATTAGTAATGACCATGCTTCTATGTATACAATTAAACACTGTTTCTCTTGATGGTACTATTCCCAATAACATCACAATAAATAGACATGTACAGTAGCCATAGTTTAGTTTAAACATGTTTTATTCAC